CTACGACGAGGTGGAGCAGGACATGATGGTACATGGGATTTGGGGGCACTGGGGGGAGCTGGAGGTGGCTGCGGGGGCAGCCCCTGCTGACCTCCCCCCTCCTTGGGTCCCCTAGCTGCTGGGGGGCACTGCCATAGAGGACAAACTGCAGCAGGGGGTCCCTGAAACCATTGCCATCCTGACGCTGGCCAACATCAAGATCTGGGTGCTGACGGGGGACAAGCAGGGTGAGGCATCGCTGGGGTGGGGGTTTGGGCTGGCTGGGGACGAGGATGTTCATGGGCTGGATCTGGGAGGTGGTGGGACAGATGCTCCTCCCTGAGCTGACCTGGGCTCAGCCCCTGCTTTCCTATCCCCAGAAACGGCCGTGAACATCGGCTACTCCTGCAAGATGCTGACGGACGACATGACGGAGGTGTTTGTGGTCACAGGCCACACGGTGCTGGAGGTGCGGGAGGAGCTCAGGTGAGGGTCGGGGGGCTGAGGACACGTGTGGGGCACGGTGCATGTGAGGCAGGACCTGGGGGATACTGAATTGGGGGCCCCCCAACCCCACTCTTTCTCCTCAGGAAAGCCCGGGAGAAGATGATGGATGGGTCACGCTCCATGGGCAACGGCTTCTCCTACCAGGAGAAACTTTCCTCCTCCAAGCTCACCTCCGTGCTGGAAGCCATCGCTGGCGAATATGCTCTGGTCATCAACGGGCACAGCCTGGTAGGGACCTGGGAGCACCAGGCTGGAGAGGACACCATGCCTGGCTGGGGGCTGTCCCCTCCACTGTCTTCCCACTCTCCTTGCAGGCCCATGCTCTGGAGGCTGACATGGAGGTGGAGTTCCTGGAGACGGCATGTGCCTGCAAGGCTGTCATCTGCTGCCGTGTCACACCCTTGCAGAAGGCCCAGGTGGTGGAGCTGGTGAAGAAGTACAAGAAAGCTGTGACCCTGGCCATCGGGGATGGGGCCAATGATGTCAGCATGATCAAGAGTAAGTCCTTGGAGCTGCAGGAGGGACAGGTCCTTGCACCATCCTGGGGCCTGTGGCAGCCTCTGCTGTCACTCCTCTGTGCCCCTCTGCTCCTGGCAGAGCCTTTCTCACTCCACGTGTCTTTTCCCTCCACAGCTGCCCACATCGGGGTGGGCATCAGCGGGCAGGAGGGCATCCAGGCCGTGCTGGCCTCTGACTACTCCTTCGCCCAGTTTAAGTTCCTGCAACGCCTGCTCCTGGTGCACGGGCGCTGGTCCTACCTGCGCATGTGCAAGTTCCTCTGCTACTTCTTCTACAAGAATTTTGCCTTCACCATGGTCCACTTCTGGTTTGGCTTCTTCTGCGGCTTCTCAGCACAGGTGTGTTGCTGGCCCCGTGCACAGGGGGTAGGGACAGTTTGCCTGCAGGACCCCCCTGCTCAGGAGCACATCCTGGTCCCTGGGCTCCTTGCAGGGCCTCATCCTGCACCAGCAGGAAGTGAGGCTCCAGAGGAACAGAGCATCTGCCCTATGAGGAAAGGCTGGGAGAGCTGGGGATGTTCAGCCTGGAGGAGACTGAGGAGGCATCTTGTAAATGCTCATAAATATCTCCAGGGGGGTGTCAGGAGGATGGGGCCAGACTCTGGGCCAGCAGTACCCAGTGACAGGACCAGGGACAATGAGCACAAACTGGAGCACAGGAGGGTCAAGTTAAACAGAAGGAAAAACTTCCTGTGAAGGTGACAGAGCCCTGGGGCAGGCTGCCCAGGGAAGCTGTGGAGTCTCCTTCTCTGGAGACATTCCCAACCCATCTGGACATGTTCCTGTGGGATCTACTGGAGGTTACCCTGCTCTGGCAGGGGGTTGGAGTAGATGATCTGCAGAGGTCTCTTCTAACTCTGACAACTCTACGAGCAGGCACAGCCTGGGGTGCCACTGGGGTGTGGTGGCTGTGAGGAGTCTGTGCAAGCCAGGGATGTGGGCACCCAGGAGGGTCTGGTGGTGGCTCTCCTGTCCCCACAGCTGTGGGCACATGGACGTGGGTGTGGCTGGGGCACAGGGCAGGCAATTCTTGCCCCCCCTGAGTGTTCCATCCCCCGCAGACAGTGTATGACCAGTACTTCATCACGCTGTACAACATCGTCTACACCTCACTGCCCGTGCTCGCCATGGGTGTCTTTGACCAGGTAAGGTGGTGAGAGCTGAGGGGGTTCCCTGGCTGGGAGGAGGGGGTGTCCTTGTCCCTCCCCAGGTGGTGGTGGAGGCTGACCCAGCCCCAGTGACAAGGCTGCTCCTGCCTGGGGCTGGAGAGAGGTGCCCAGAGTGCCCTGTGCCCCCAGGATGTGCCGGAGCAGCGGAGCATGGAGTACCCCAAGCTCTATGAGCCTGGGCAGCTCAACCTGCTCTTCAACAAGCGGGAGTTCTTCATCTGCATCGCCCAGGGCATCTACACCTCTGTCCTCATGTTCTTCATCCCTTACGGCGTCTTTGCTGATGCCACCCGTGCCGATGGTGCCCAGCTGGCTGACTACCAGTCCTTTGCTGTCACCGTGGCCACCTCCCTCGTGATCGTTGTCAGCGTGCAGGTAGGGACGCGGCTGCTCGGCCCCTCTAGTGCAAAGCTTTGGGAAGGTTTAGGTCCCATCCAGCCCTCCTGCCGTGCTCAGAGCACCATGACTGTCCTGTGAGCCCCTGAGGACTTCCCCTTTCCACCAGATCGGGCTGGACACGGGCTTCTGGACAGCCATCAACCACTTCTTCATCTGGGGCAGCCTGGCCACCTACTTCGCCATCCTCTTCGCCATGCACAGCGATGGCCTCTTCCAGATGTTCCCCAACCAGTTCCGCTTTGTGGGTGAGTCCTGGGTGGGCTGAGTGATGCCCCCCACTCCACCAGGGTGCTGCCCCAGCCAGAGTCATGTTTCCCCCCCCCAGGTAATGCACAGAACACGCTGGCCCAGCCCACAGTCTGGCTGACCATTGCTCTCACCACCGTGGTCTGCATCATGCCCGTCGTGGCCTTTCGCTTCCTCAAGCTGGACCTGAAACCGGAACTCTCAGACACGGTGAGAGTGTGTGACCATGGCGAGGGGGGAATTAACGGGGGGGTCCTGTCCCCTGGGGCTCTGCAGGTCCCTGACCCTGTCCCCTGTCCCCAGGTGCGCTACACTCAGCGGGTTCGGAAGAAGCAGAAGGCGCAGGACC